TCGTGGCTCTTCATGAGATAACATCAGAGGTGAATGATTGGATCTCTGGATCAACTAAGAACTAAATCTCGCATAGAATGGCCCAAGTGCATTGCTCGTAGTCACTACATACCCAGATTGTTCCGCTCTCATTGTTGAATATTCTGCAGAGGAGCGCGCCTTGGTGGTAAAAGAGACGCACAAACTCGTATCACCATATGGATTACCCCTAGCTGGATGCAACCCTTGCGCGGTGTCTGCGGATCGTCAATATGCTGCCATTTCTCTCTATCAGGGAATCATGCACATTCTCCAATTCACCAGAAAATCAGGATCTATACAAGTATCTCTCAAATTTGAATGTCCGTAAGTGTCATATCTTATTGATCAGTCGGCCAAATGAGCCTTTGTCTGTATGACTAAGGGCAGGCCAACTGTCTGTCTTGTGGATGGATAGTTTGCGGGGCAAACAGATACTGACTACAATCAATAATAGGATACCTGAATTGCTAATGTCATCTTTCTGCTTCACTCCACGAATAAATGGGGAACTAATGGTCGCATTACTTCATCGGTCCCATACTGGGCGTCGTCACATTGTCACTCGTAGAATTGACGAGATCAATAAGGAGTTACCCCCCGGGAGTGAATCATGGATATTAGGAGAAGACGAATTCAAGAGCTTGATTCCGATACTCCCCTCCCAAGGTGGCTATGGAGGTCTTTTGGTTCTAGGAGAAGACACCTTGGCTTTCTATGAGCTCTCACCTCCCAAAATATCACAGTCTCCCAGGAGAATGCGCAAACAATCAGTAGCTGCAGAGCGTAAACCCGATGTTATTCTAGATTGGAACTATTCAATAATCGCAGGGTTTGTCTAGACTTGTCCAATCTTTCTCGAGCTTACTGACACATGGCAATAGTTGGGGATTCATCGAGAACGATAGAATTTTATTCAGCGATAAATACGGCAAACTCATTCTCCTAACGATGTTGCGCTCCAGAGAGAGCAAGAAAATCCATAATATGGCGATAGATGACTTGGGGGAGGTAAGCGAGGTTTTAGGGGAAAATAGGAAGATCTGACCATCGTATTTACAGTCATCCTCAGCAAAGTGCATCGCATACATCAATGCAGGTGTAATATTCCTTGGCTCCGAGAATGGGGATTCCCATCTTCTTCAGTTGACATCCTTAGGTCGGATTGAGGTAGTAGACACATTCAAGAACGTAGGCCCCATTACAGATGCCGCATTGGCCGACCTTGATGCATCGGGAGAGCCGGTTATCGTCACCTGTTCGGGAGGCGGGAAGACTGGTTCTCTTCGAATCATAAGGTCCGGGGCCAATTTAGAGGAACTTGTCAGAGTAGCGGGTACGGAAGCTGTAAAAAGCATATTTCCTCTATGCGGCCCGACCGATCAGTAAGTTTATAGTTATCAAACTTCTCAATACTTCTCACATCCTTTCAGATATCATTCTCATCTTGTACTCTCTTTTCATGGCGAGACCAAACTTGTGGAGACGAGGCAATTTTCCGAATATGCAGAAGTTCCTCAAGCAGAGTTTCCTGGACTTGTTCGTGATCAGGCCACGT